CATGCGTATGTTCAATCCTTCTCTGGTGGACCAATTGTTATGCTTTGTAGTCTCATGAGGATTAATATTTATAATGGTAGGTTCGACCAAATTATATCACATAAAATTGCATGATTATTCATCCATATTAACGTTTTTTGTCATTAACTTTTTGAAGGGAAAGTATCAATCCAAAGTGTAAAATCATCAACAAAGCTCTTCATGAATGTTGACATTGCTGAGATAAACGAATTCAAAGAAAAGTAACCAAACATGCTTGAATTTTGTTGGTTTTAGATAGAGATTTTATTGTTATACTTTATTTCATGTTATTATTTGTGTATATATAATAGGATGCCAAAAGATGTCATCTCTACTACACCCAGTGTCTCCATTTTGGCTTTGTCAAATTCTGACCAAGTTTCCTCAGATAACTTTTCATTGGTTTCTTGCAAAACTATTTCTCAGCTGCTTACATCACATGAGGTTAGTTGTCTATTTTAAACTTTCTCAACTATTGTACTAATTACACATCCAACTATTTTGTTTTCATTCGTGAATAGCCTCAGGAAATAACGTGTTCTATATATGCAACAATATGTGCACTTAAAACTGAGATTCCTTGGTTCTACATCGGATGTACAAAATGTTTCAAAAAAGTAAACGAATACTTAAATCCGGAAACTGAAGAAATAGAGGCTGATAAGTTTACATGTGATACCTGTGAGAAAATTTGTACTTCTACTGTAACAAGGTTTGACATTAATCTATGCACATCATCTGCCTATTTTTGTAGACATGCGTATTTTACCATTACAAGTGTGATAAATTATAGTTTATTTTCACAGGTACCAAGTTCATGTAAAAGCAATGGATGAAACAGGAACCACTTCTTTCCTTCTGTTTGACAAGGAGGTCATTCAACTAATTCACAAATCTACGTATGAATTGCTAGAGCAACAAGTTCAGGTAAAATTCATCCTTTATATTCATCTTAATATCATGTTTTAATTATTATTTTTTTCCAAATTGTGGCAGTTCAACCGTAGGATCGAATTCCCTCCAGAACTCCTAGCTTTAGCCAATCGTCAGTTCGTTTTTACCGTCTACAAACCTTCTACAACAAAAAATTCCAGACCAACCACTTTTAAAGTTGTTAAAATTACAGATGACCCTGCAAAACTTTCAATGTTTTGTGGTGATGATGTCAACACGGTATATATAATAAAATGTCCCTTTATTATCTTGCACTTATAATTTTATTTGGTTTTAATTATTTTACAAAATTTCCATGTAGAATGATACTGCTGCGATTGGTCCTAATTTCTCAAACTCCACAGCATTCACTACCAACTTGGTATGACGCTCTTCCGCTTTAAACTTCATGTTTGTAATTTCTCATCACTTATACAATCTATGCTATATTTTACAAGTAATAGAAGATATGAAAAAGTTACAGTTTATCATTAGATAAATTTACAATCTATTATCGGTTCTTTCGGGATAAATTTACAATCTATTTTTGGTTCTTTCGGGATAAATTTACAACATATTATCAATTCTTTTTGGTGATGCTTTTTTCTTGATCAGATTGATGATGTCTCTTTCAAAGCGTCTAAAAACAATTCGACAAGCGGTTCGACGGAATATCCTGAGACTCCAAACAAAAAGCGAACAATTACTTATGTAGAAATGTCATCACCAATTGAGGATAGTAATGCACAACTTTCATCAAAGAAGCATAAACCAAAGCTTGCTGCTTTGACTGGAGGAGAAACTGGGCAACCGAAACCGAAAGCTGAGCCTAGAACTAATTAAGGATGCTGGTACAAAACTTTCATCAACAAAGCAGAAAGTGTCGGCAAATCTAATTCCAAAAAAGTAAAAAGAATGATGATTAATCAGCTGTGGTTTTTTTTTTGTATTTTTACCAAGTATCATATAACTTCTATCCTTTTTTTTTAGTTTTGGATAACTTCTATTTATTTCCATGTTTTATTAGAACTTGATGTTTTGTAGGATTTCAACTACGTACAGCAATTTATAATTATGTTTTTTCTCTTATAAATTGTGTATCAACTAATCCTATCAATTTTTATAATTTCCAAGGTCAGTCAACTTTTGTTTTTTTTATTGCAATCTGTAAACGGTTGATACTTGTTTGCAACTCCGATAAAAGTTACAAATTTCAGTAGAAGTAGAAAATAACTAAATATTTTACTTTTCATATGTTACTGAGGAAGAGAAACTACCGGTTATATGATTGGACTAAATAACCACGTAAACACATGTCACTATTTCAATGAAACTCCAAAGGAGAAATTGTTTAAACTAATTTATTTTGGCGGGACTTGAAAAAGATTCAAAAGAAAACCGTTCTACATATTTACGTTCTTCCTTGCTCTGTTTCTTTACTCTCTCCACCCTTGCTCTACATTCTTCCATGTAAAGCATTTCTCTATGCTTTCAGTTATATTTAAAACCTGCAAAAGGTCACTCCACTTTCATAACTAAATTCCCTATCAGAACAAACATAATGCGTACTCCCTATCAGAAGAAGTAATTGAATTCCCACCTGAACTGGACTACGATAACGTGAAGTTTGCGTTTTACGATCGTATCTATGGTTGTTCTCACAAGCTAGATGAACTTACTTGCCACACTGAAGCTTGTCCCTATTCGGTTCAAAGGATAAAAGGATGTGGCATACAATTCTGGCATGTCTCTCCTTCTCGGAAAGATAGTGGTGGTGAAACCTTTGAAATTCACGGAGAATCGTCATCTTCTTCAGGTAACTCCAAACATCTTAAAACTCTAATGCAAGAACAACTGGGGATTAGCCGTTTTCTTCTTTTGTTAACTGCAGAGGATGAAGCAGAATACATAGATAATTTATGTGTTGATGACGACTACGAAAGCCTGCCTTCTTCAGGTAACTGTAACATCTTGCAACTCTACTTTTCTTCTAATTTGGGATCAGCATAGGATTAGGCCATGGTTATACTGATAACGACTTGATGATTTCATAGTATTTCACACTAGCCAGTTTTTTATTCTTGCAGAGGAAGAAGAAGATTTGAACGTCAATTTAGCTGACAACGAAGAGTTGAACTTCTCATYTTTTTTTGGTAACTGAAACATCTTAAAAGTCTAAATTTTCTTCTAATAAGGGGATCAACCCATGGTTATAACTTATAGTGATAATGACTGGATGATTTATTTCATAGTTTTTTTCACTAGCCAGTTGTTTCTCCTGCAGAGGCAGAAGAAGATTCGGACAATCTTCCAACTCATTCTACTCTAACTCCAGAAGATATTGCCCATTGGATCTTTGAGTCTACGAACCAGTGCTAAGCATTGACTCAGGCACGAGTTATCCAAGAAATCATCCTCTTTTTCGATTTCACAGCTTACCATTTTGTGTTGATCAATCTCAAAAACACAGTACAATAACGTGTTTATAGTGTGTACACACTAAAATAATGAACCAAAGTTGTAGGACTCTCGTGTGAATCGAACCAAAGATGTATATATCAGACTTGTGATGCCAGTCTCTTTGTACAACTCTTAGGGACGTGAATGCTGTGGAAGTTTGGTCCCTTTGGGACAGTTGCAGGTCTTTTCTCCCCTGAAGCAACAACACAAACAGAAGATTTGTTGATGCTTGCAACTTCCTTAGATTCTSCATTCATCGGTGATGTTTCCTCCACGGTCTCAATTTTTTTACTTGCCATTTTCTTCCTTGTAACCCTGAGGAACGGAACAAAATTGTTATGAACAAGTCAATACTCGTTTGGCCAGTTCACTCAAGTGATAGACTACACTTTGTTTTCTGATAAGCAGTTTTTCTTACCTCTTACAATTCACCGTATTTTCAGAGGCATCTTTTTTGGATGTTCCTCTTGAAACATTACCTCTTGTGTTCTTCTATAGCTGCAGTTGAGATTATTATGTCACGAAAAGAGAAAATTTCACGATCATATGCTTTGGTTCTATTGTTTCAGATATAACTTACTCGAGTTGGCTGACGTTTTGGATCCAAGTTTTCACCATTGAACCCAAGAATGCTTGCACTTTCTTCTTTGGCAAGTGCACACTTTGGTTTATTCTCCGTGTTTGTTTCTTGAGAATTTGTCTTTCTGTAACATGTAAATACTTTATGAGAAAAAGAAACTAGAGCTGCATATTACAGAATAAACATCTTTGGTGGGTTGTAATTATATTGCACATCGTACATCGGTTCTTAGTCGAAAAGGCTTTGGATTCGTGAGCTTAGGTTTTGTATACTTGACTCGGGTATTAGGTGAAACAGTCTTTCCATTGAAACACTTCTCTGCTACTGTCATCCCCTGGTTCGTACAAATACATATATACAAGAAGATGATAGCAGAGCCCAATTAGAAAGTATTGGGAAGAAAGTTACCTTTTGAGTGGTTTTGAAAATTTCTTTCTTGTCAAAGATTTTCTTTTTCATTGAAGGGTCGGTGTTATGCTCGACTTTCCTACGAGATTCAGACAAAACAAAGTATATCTGTGAGGTATTTGCTCAAATGGAATCCAAAGTAAAGCAAATAAACAAACATTTTCCTCACCTGTTACTGTCCAAGGCTATAAAATTTTCCTTATCATCGCTTTCTCTATCGACATCTGCTGCACTAGTAACATTTTCTTTGTCGGTTTTCTATCAAATAGGCCGGTTTTCTTATTCTTTTTAATTAAGAGCAATCGTACCAACATTAACCAGGATAAGAAAATCTGTGGCTTTGACTATTGAGCGTGAAATGGAAAATCATCAAGTGGAAATTTCCTGCAAGTCTCCGATCCTTTTCGCTCTCAGTATCTGCAATGCAAAACTGTTGTTTCCGATAAGATTTTTCGAACACTTAAAGTTTTAATCTCTACTCCTTTCCTAATATCCCGTTTCCATGGCTTCTTCTTCTCGTCGCACTTGGAAATACGATGTTTTCCCGAGCTTTAGCGGTGAAGATGTCCGCAAATCATTCCTCAGCCACTTTCTCGAGAAGCTTCAGCGAAAATCAATCGTCACATTCATAGACCATGGCATCGAGAGAAGCCGTCCGATTGCATTTGAGCTTTTATCAGCGATTAGAGAATCGAGGATTTCAATCGTCGTCTTCTCTAAGAAGTATGCTTCTTCCACTTGGTGCCTGAATGAATTGGCGGCGATTCACGAGTGCTTCAAGGAGATGAATCAAATGGTAATTCCGGTTTTCTACGAGCTTGATCCTTCTCATGTTAGAAAACAGACCGGAGAGTTTGGCAAGGCCTTTGATAAGACCTGCGAGGGCAAAACAGAAGATGATATAAAAAGATGGAAGAAAGCTCTTGAAGAGGTAGCAAGTATAGCTGGAGAAGATTCTCGAAACTGGTATGTATGTTCTTTTCTTAAATTTGTTTAGTATATTTTATCTCAAAATTGGGATTTCTTTGCATAGATTTCGAGATTGTGCTCTTAGTAATAGGAATTTGATTATTGGATTTTAGGAGTGACGAGCAAAGATGATTGAACAAATCTCCAATGATGTGTCCAATAAACTTTTTACACCATCCGATGATCTTCGTCGGGATTGAAGCTCATATAGAGGCAATTATGGATTCAGTGTTGTGTTTGGAATATGGGGGAGTAAGAATGGTAGGGATTGGTAAAAGTACAATAGCTAGAGCTTTGTTCAGTCGACTCTCTAGCCAATTCGACCATCGGGCTTTCGTATCTTATAAGAGAACCATCCATGACAACTATGGCATGAAACTGGCTTGGGAAAAGCAATTTTTATCAGAAATTCTAGGTCAGAAGAACATAAAGATAGAAAGTTTAGGTGCGGTGGAACAAAGGCTAAAGCACAAGAGGGTTCTCATCGTTCTTGATGATGTGGATGAAATAGAGCTGCTAGAGGCTTTGGTGGGACGAACCGGATGGTTTGGATTTGGAAGCCGAATTGTTGTGGTCACTCAAGATAGGCAAATTCTCAAGTCACATGAGATTGATCTTATATATGAGGTGGAGTTCCCATCTGAAGATTTAGCTCTTCAGATGTTTTGTCAATCTGCTTTTAGGAAAACTTCTCCACCTGATGGTTTCATAGAGCTCGCACTTGAAGTTGCAAATCTTGCCGGTAATCTTCCTTTAGGTCTCAACGTTTTGGGATTTTCTTTAAGGGGGAAGGACAAAGAGCACTGGGTGGAGATGATGCCTAGGCTCCGAAATGGTTTGAACGGGAAAGTTGAGAAAACGTTAAGAGTCTGTTATGATGGTTTAGATGAAAAAGATATATTCCTCCACATTGCGTGTTTATTCAATGGCGAGAGTGTCAATTACATCAGTAACTTGCTGGAGAAGAGCTATAGTAGTGTTAACACTATACTTAGAACGCTAGCTGATAAGTCCCTCGTACGTATAATCGCACCAGATGAAACTGTGCAAATGCACATTTTGCTACGGAAGTTGGGTAGAGAAATTGTTCGTACCGAGTTTAACAATCCTGGAAGACGTCGATTCTTGGTGGATGCCGAGGATATCTCTGATGTATTTAACGATAATACTGTAAGTTTTTATATATGCTTTTCATTCCTCACTTTATTTGAATTTAATCTTTTGATAAATTGTTGAGATTTATGCTAAGACAATGGTTTTCTTTTGTGGGTTTTTTTTTTTCAGGGCACAGAAAATGTCCTAGGAATACGTTTATACACACCAGAAATCAACGAGCCGTTGTTTATAGATGACAAATATTCGAAGGAATGCGTAACCTTCAGTTTATACAGGTTTACAAACACTCGTGGGCACAGAAGATAGATGAAGTCAGATTGTATTTACCTCAAGGCCTCGTTTATTTACCTCGTAAACTCAGATTACTACATTGGGATGAATATTCAGCAAAATATATACCTTCTAGCTTTAGTGCAGAATATTTGGTTGAACTCAGAATGGAGGATATGAGAAGCTATGAGAAGGAACTCTGGTATTTACTTTTAACTTTTCTTTGTTAGAATCTGTTTAGAATGTTTTGAACAAGTGTATTTTCTTTTCCCTTACTTTTTTTTCAGCCACTTCGAAACCTCAAGGCAATGCATAAATCCAACTGAAAACTATAAATGCTATCTCTCCATTCTCTTTTTCAGGATCAACATGATAATGGAAACATATGTAAAAGATTCTCTTGCTGATTTTTTGGTGATGCAGATGACAGTTGTAACATCTCAAGAACATTCCAACCTACCAGGCCGCCAAACTCTATCTCCAAATTCTGACCTTTCATCGGGTCCGGATAGAGCTTCAACTAATTTCCATGGAGATGGAACATCGCTGTACCATTTACTTTCTCCTTCTTATCCATGTGTGGAGGGAGAAGCTTTGTGTGTTGATCCCATGATAACGGAACAACAAGACACGGAGACACCCATTGTGGATCCTTCATTCTCTTCACAGCTTCTAAACTTTTTCAGGTGATTTGAAACTCTCAATTTCGATTTTACTATATTCAAAGATCAACTAGAATCTTCAACTAATATAATGACAATAACTATAGATGATTTCATAGAGTCTCATGATAACCATTTTTTTCCTGCAGATTTTGGAAATAACATTTTGAGAAGCTTCCAACTTATAGCGTTTGTGTTTAGCAGCTGAACTTTTTATGTGTTAACAACATTGATCTGAAAACAAAAATCACTTTTGTCACTCTCAAAGATGAATCCAAATTACTATAGACTATCGTGTGAAGCAAACCAAAGATATCTCAGACTTGTGATACCACTCTCCTTGTACAGCTTTAAATCTGGAGCTTTCTTAGGTCTGGGTGAAGGTTCTAGCAACTTGCATGGAGATGGAACATCGCTGTATCATTCACTTTCTCCTTCTTATTCATGTATTGAGAGAGAACCTTTGTATGTTATGACATGAACAGAACAACAAAACACAGACACTCATCGAAGATCCTTTGTCGTCCACACAACTTATCAACATTTTCAGGTGACTCAAATCTTACAAATCTATTTTATTTTAAGTCCTCTTCAATGACTATATAGTGATAATGACAAACGATTTCATAGATATGTCCCATTTTTTCCTGCAGATGATGGTGGTAACATTGTGTGAGGCCTGAGGCACGAGTTATTGTCTAAAAGCTGAATGTTTTTTTGTACTATCATTGTCAGTGTTACGACAAATTTGTCAGTGCTACATCCATGGTTATCAGTTTTGATTGCAATTGTCCATATTTTTCGTGCCTGACAAGTGTTGTGCTTGAGTCCTTTCAAGAAAGTTTTGTTCTTCTCCAGCTGCAGCTGAGACCAATCTATTAGTTCCAAAAGATAGATTGCTACAATATTAGTTT